TGAAATGTTAAATGGTTAACAAAAGAAAGAAGGTGAATGTTTGCAAACATAAAGTCCCAAGGAAAAAGGACTCCTTGCAAAAAAGAAAAAACACTGTTTGAAATTTTTAAGTAAAATAGGATAAGCTGTAGATCAGTTCGATCAAGTCACGAAATTCATTTGTAGCCGCATTGAATGCCTGATGGTAGGTGCGATGATCCTAGTTAGTTTAATGCAAGATCAACGTGAGTACAGGAGAGGTATATGTATATTTTATTGTTCGCCCTATTCTAGATTAAGGCAAGTGGGGAAACAATAAATTAAATCCTACGATATTGTCCAGTCCTTCAGAGCTATACCTCGCAAGGTGGCCAGTCAGCTTGTGCCCAGATATTCAGTTGTTTGAAAAACATACATACACTCATCAACATTACCAGAATATACATACAATTCGGAAGAAAGGAGCGGCTTTGCTGCTGCTGCTTACGTAAACGTAGTACCGTACATTCACAGGGAATAGAAAAGTTCGACGTAAACCTATTTCCGGCTCAGGGCCCTTGTTTCCAAAGAAGCCAAGTCTGCAACGGTTCTTTAGTATGTTGAGAGAGACAGGGTCATAAAGACATAGAAGGTAATGAGGAGGCAGACAAGTTTGCCGGAAAAACGGTAGCATCAACAAGAAGCCCTCGAACCCTTCATTGCGGTCGAACCACACACCAAGCCACTGGGCTACGACAGGAAAAGAAGTTATTGGGAGATTACAATAGAAAAAGATATGACTAATTAGAAAGTAAAAATTTTAACAGGAATCTTCCCAGGTCATTGCAGATTAAGAGGCCACCTGCATGAAACTTCTAAGCACACACTCCCCGTATGCGATGTTGTCAATTTTTGAAGTAATTTGTGATATTTGTTAAACTTTTCTGGTATGTTCGAAAATTTCCTCTAAGCACCCGTTAGGAGTGTACACAACTCACACGTACACCAAAATGTACAGTGGTATACGGTGGAATTTTCACATTGCCGTCAAGAAGTTCATAGAATTTTCACCTAAATAATACATCAGCTAAAGCTACCTACAAAATGCTGGTATTAAATCGGGTATTTACGCAGTCTTTTCAGATTTAGATTAACCTGTAAAGATACTGATGTATCACGAGCATGACTTCTATTGGTCTCTGCCTCTGATGTCCAACCTTCTAAGTAAATTAGCTTTCTGCATACAAGGATCATAAATCTGTACCTTAAGCGAGACAATATGCTATCATATAGGTCAACCCAAAGATCTCATCCTGTAGAGTGATTTTAAAACGTCGCCCAAAAACAATATAGGGACAGAAAACACCTATATGAATTTGACAGGAAAAAATTTCTATCGGATAATTTGCCGTTAATTATCCGTAAATTATATATATATATACATATATCCGCGGCAAAATTATTATTTTCACGGATAATTAACGGCAAATTATCCGATATGATTTTTTTCTTTGGGGAAAAGTTGTCTTGTCAACTTCAGAGAGGTGCAGACAACTGATAATTCATTGACTGTATAACCTGAGGTAAGGAATGCATCTGTGAGAGTAGGGTAGATCGATCTGGTTCTGCACCTTAGCATTGATCGAAGTCAAGACACTTGATACGTAGATATTGTTTGACAGATTCGTTCAAAGCCTAAATTGTCAGAGAGGTTTGTTCTATATTCCAACAGGGTAGCGCCCCTGGCCTTATTTATAGGACCAAAAAACATTAGCATACATCCAGTCTGTTTTCCTAGTTTTTTCGATACTAGCCTCCATGATCTAGTTAAACTTAGGGACACATGTTTGAGATGTTAGCAAAGCTATGCCAGCTTTATAGGAATTTTTTGGGCATCAACGCGTAGGATAGGTTTTTTATCGGTATTTAGAATTTAAAGAAATATCTCTAATTTAGTTTTCTTTTGCATATTTTAAACCTACTTCTACAAATGTATGTAATCTGAAATGACAAATACCACAAGTATGTTTGTATGTGGGTACCATTTAGATCTCTATACAATATTTAAGCTCTCAAGCAACAACTGAATTGCTATAATCATAAATTCCAAAGAAAGTTAAGTCCATCCATTCATATATATATATATACACATAACCAAATATGTTCGTATTTAGTAAAAATAAATATTTGTCAGTATTCTGTAAATAAGAATTCGCACAAGCAAGCCCATCAAATAAAATAAACTCAAATATGCGGCGTGAATGAACATAAATTACCACTTAGAAGACAAAGTGTCTTTAAGTTAAGACCAAGTTGGCTAGAGTGGGGGTAGAAATAAAACAAACAGAGAGCAAGAAAGACACACTTCAATTGAAACAAGAACACTTAGTCCAGTAGTGTGTATTTTTTGCAAATACAATTTTGTTAAGTTACGAAAAGCAAGGCCAGTTTGATAAACAACAAACGTCGTTTTGTTCACTTGGCCAGCCAAAAAGCTGCAGGAATTCGAACTTCGCAACTGCATGAACAACAACAACTCAATAACAGTGCCGACAACAAAATGGCAAAGCCAAACAAAACGAAATCAAAACGTATAATTGCGAAAGAAACCGTAGCCGTAGGACAGTGAATCGAAAAGAATGAGTAAATCAAAAGCAGAACACAGAGAACAAATAACAGAAAAAAGAGCAACCACTACAAACATAGTTACAACAAAAGGTGGCAGTTACGGCTTAGATGAATTTATCGCCTCGCAGATTCCCTCCCAAAGCTCACTCCTTTCACACACAGCAACAACGCCTACCAAACAACTGACACCTACCGAAAAGTACTCGGCACACGCCACGAGCAGCACTCGTTGTCGAGTAAATTGTACGCTTGTAGGATGAGACTGTCCACTATAGTCGGTGTCCGTTAGTTATACTTGGTTAAGTATATGCTTGTAATGTCCTTCGAAAGCATTCTCCTACAGTCGCTTCCAGCTCCACCCCCAGCATGACAAATGCGCCTCGAGTCAAGAATGACAGCTCCAAAGCAATAAATTGTGCTGCCGGCTTCTTATTCCACATCTTCATGCCTCCCACTGCCTGCCAAACAACCCAATGCCACTGCGATTCCCATTCAGCTGGAAGACGCCAATATGCCAGCACTACTTACTTACTTCTCACCAATACTTTTGCTGGAGGCTCGATTAAAATTTTCTTCTGCTGAGCAGGCGGAAATGGCTGTCAAGGCGGCCGGGACAAAACATAGAAAGAATACTGAACCAGCGGAGAATAAGAGTTGCAGCGCCAAGACATGCAAGTAAATAAAGTATAAAATGTACCACCGAACGGTTGGGTTTCAGCGCGTGGGCACTGGGATGACGAAGGTTTTCTGCTGATATAGGCAACGAGAGAGAGAGGTAAGCCAAGCAGGCTGCGGCAGGAAGTAGGAAGTTCAGGAAGTGCAGATTGTGGCTTTGCCTTTTGCTCTGCTCTGCGCACCACTGCTCTGTTCGAGAATTGAGTGTTAATTTTGGGCAAGGTGCTAGATAACACGATGTTGCTGCTGTTGTTTCGTTTAGTTCGCTTTGGTGTGATTTAGTTGCCTTGTTGGATTTCTTATTGTTGTTTGTTATCCTGCAGTGGCCTGTCTATTGCTTTGTATTTTGATTTTATTTATATACTTTTGCAATGTGTGTATGTTTGTTTGCTTTACAGTTTGCTTCCTTGTCGTCCATGTGGATTTTGTGGGGAAAACTTGCGACTTTTCTTTGCGGCATATTACATTTGTTTTCTTTTATTTCGTCCTTTCTTGGCGTAGAGTTTCGTTAACGATGCCGCAAATTCTTATCGGTTATGAGCAGTATGGTAATTTGTTTATTCATCCTTCTCATTGAAATTGTATGTTTGTTTTTATTTTTTAAGAACGCTGCTATGCAGAGTAAGTATGGAAAGTTTCCGAAGACCTAGCACGTGGAATAAATGGAAAACGTTGAATACGCCGTCAACGGTCATTTGGTACGACCATGGTGTCTGTACTGGTAAATTTTCTCCAGTATATCATAAATCTAGGCATCTCAAAGGCTAGTTTGTTCCACGCGATCTTACTATGCCTAGGAACTCAGTGTTGACGTGACTTAGTAACAAGTGAGTATACCAACATTTCCGTCCGAGCCCAGCCTGCCGTTCTTGCGGAATTAGAAACCTTGAAACGGAAGTCCCAAAATTATGTAATTTTATCAGCGCTGATGTCTAAATCAGCATTGAGCGCACTATGACTGTCCTAAAGATCGCTGTGTGTAATAGTAGATTTCCACCAAGCCTTAACTGCAGTTTATGCCTATTGGAAAAGTGAGATTACAACTCGAAGAGGTAATTGGTCATAATAAGTACAACCAAATGAAGGTAACAGAGCAAGAAGTAAGATATCGCCGTGCCGTTCAACCCATATTAAAATTCTTGGCGCTTATTTGAACTCTTAAATGCAGTTAAGCTGATGGTAGAAATAGTCTATCAACCTGGAAACGGGCTCGTTAACAGACTGAGCGGATATGGTTTAAGGATATGCGACGTCCTTTCTTGGATATCATAAACGGGTTCCCTAGCCTTTTAATAAATACTTTAGGAGCATCTCTCATATGCAAATATTAAAAAAAAATGGATAGGTAGCCTCATAAACACCAGTGAAAATTCCAAATAATTCATCAATCGCATAGGTAGTAGAAATAATCATCTGTTTTTAATCTTTCGCTGCAAAGACGCTCTTTGTAAGCATAAAAATCGAAATCTTTATCCCATGCTACATGCATTCTACTTAGTTCTGCTTGGAAACAATTCGGTTTCTGTAAATCAAAGCGTACAGGGTGATAAAAAAGAAAGCTGTACAAGAGAAAATGGGCCGCGTAGCTACATGAGCTAGTGCTACAAGGCGTTGCAAGATTTATTGACTTAGTTTTTTTATGGCAGGATACTTACTCAAAACTACTTTCAAAAATTCCCTTAATTGGGCAAGGAAAATAATTACTAAAACCTAAGTCAAATAACTATTTATTCACTCACCTTTTGTGCCTTGCAAGTGACACTGATGGACTGCACCTCGTGTCCGGGATGTTGTTTCTCGGCGATGCACTGTGGACAGGCGGGCATCTTGCACACCAAGCAGTACATTGCCAGCGTATCTCCATGGTCACCGCAGACCGACTCCCTTTGTGGTGCGCAATTACGCGGCTTCATCAAATTATGTTTGGCCAGCGGGCCACGTGCCGGATGGCAGAGCTCCCGACATGCATCGCAGTAGCGTATCTCGCATTGTTCGCACACAGTGGACGCCACCTTCGGATCTGTCTCGCACATTTGGCAGCGCAGAGCTTCGCGTGCACAAAAGCGATCAACAATCGATTCCATGGTGCGATAGGCGGGCAAATTACGCACGCCACCCTCGTCGAAGAACACCAGCTTCCGGCAGAGCGGACAGGTGAGATAAAAAGCAGCGCCAGGTGGCGCAGCAGCAGCGCCCTGCAACAGGCCCTGTAACTGTGCGGTGCCGGCGTACGAAACCGGACGTGATGTATTCGAGCAGCAGACTACACCGGAGTCGGCTTCACTCAAGATGCTCACCTTGTCTGCCTGGTCCTGATCGGATGTAACACTTTCGCTGCCTGTGGCCGAGCTGGCAGTGCTGGCGGCTGAGCTGTTCGATGAGTGACGTGTCGACGAAGGATGTGAGGATGGTGCTGCGGGCGCACCAACGCCAGCGTGTGAATGTACTGTAGCGGTGGTAGTGACGCTGTTACCATGAGCTGCTGCGCCATGCACTGGATGCGAGTGTACCAGACAGCCGCCGTTTATGTTGCCATTCGCGACGAGACCAGCACCGGCATTGATGGCGGCCAAGGCCGAGGCGGGCGTGTAGGCGGTCTGTATGTCAAGCGCACAACCCAGGCAGAGGGCGTGGAAGCAGGGCAGCAGTACCGGATTGGCGAAGAGTTGTTTGCATGTCGGGCAGCGTAGTTCGTCCTCCATGCTAGCGATGTGTGTTTATAAGCTTTGGAGTTGGTTACGAGAGAAAAATTTAGTTTTTTGTACGTGCGTACTTTTTTGCACAGTTGAAAGTTTTGGCTTTGGATTTTAGGAGGTGTTTATCCAATTCACTTTTAAATTCATGATTTACGCGCTCACATTCGTTGAACTCTACATTACACTTTTGTTCTGGCGAATTACTTTTTTTTGTGTGATTTTCAAATTTTTTACTGCACCGGGACGGTTTTTCGCAATAAATATTTTATTTAACTATTTGCAGATTAGTTGATTTTTCATGTCAAAACGTTTATATATTTCGGTTGTGATTTATCTTTTTGTATTTGCAAAATACCATTAACGGTTAACGTTCTGTTTTTACAAACTTAGTAATTTTTTTATTTAAAAAGTATTTTCATTGGTATTTTGGTGATGTTCTGTGCTAACAGCTATTTTCGCGAACCTTTTTACATCAATAGATTTGGTAAAGGTTTTACAATTTGTAGTAAGCCATATAAATGTTTTGTTAGATTAGATGTGAATATTTTCGGTGGTTAAAATAAAGTGATCTTAATTAACTAAATAATTTTTGGGCGTGAAAAAATGTAGACGCAATAAAGATATAAAAGGCAAAATTTTAAATATTCGATTATGATAAAAATATATGGGTCATTCTTTGTCAGCGGGAGATCTTCTTTGTCCATTGGTTAGATAAGGTGTTATAGGGTATATAGAATTGTATTACTAGACCAGGGAATAGATAAATATCGGAAATCTTTTCCATAAATTTTATAGCTTAAATTGACTAGCTATTTTTACCTACTTTTAGGGTAACCCATACAAATCTTAATTTTTTAATTCACCGTTATTCCAAATATTCCAGTCGCCAAAATTATAGAATACTTATGTACTTTGTAGTATTGCCAGAGTTTTGGATTCTTCTGATTGAGCTTCCCTTCTACGTTAACATGTTTCAACATTTCCAGATTTGTTGTCTATGAATGATTTTTTCTTAGATAACGAGCTACGTTTTGATAAAAAATAATAAATTTCAGAAAACAAAAATAACTATTATCTTGAATTTACAAATTAAAAACGTTGTCCGAATTCTGAAATTTAACGAAAACGCTGTTTCAAACAGTTATTAAAAGAAAAAAAATTTTTATTTCGCATATAACAGTTATTGCCCAACGTTTATTTTCTACATTGCTTGATAACAGTTATTATCCGACATTTATTTTTTACGTTGTCTGGTAAACGTTGTAAGATAAGAATATTGACGAAAATGGAGACGGGGAGTCAGATAAAGATGATGAAAATAAAAGAGGATGAATGAAAAAACTGTTCTCAGACAAAGTAAAAATAAACGATGGGTTATAACTGTTATCAAGCAACGTAAAAAATAAACGTTGGGAAATAACTCTTATTGACGACAGAAAACATATTTCTCCCGCATAAAAACTATCAGGCAACGTAAAAGGTAAACGTTGGATTATAACTCTTATTGGCGAAATAAATAATAAAAAATTTCTCATCTAAAAACTGTTATGGAACAACGTTTTTTCGATAAAACTTATAACTATTTTATATTTCCCTGATAAATATTAAATAAACGAAAGGTATATAGCCAAAGAATGCCAAAATGCCTCATCCCTATTTATATTTTCGCCACTGCACTTTGTATAAAAGAAAAGGGCAGCAAAAAAATTTCAAAAAAAACAACGGCTAGTCACAGCTACTTCTAACTTACACTAAAATTAGATGGGTTACAAAATTGCATACCAAAATTTTGTTGTAAAAGTTCTGACTAAAAAGTTTGAAATTTTGATGAAACTTCTTCGTATTCTTCTAATTTTTATAAAAAGTTTAAGTTCGGATTTACATGGTTTTTGTTAGACAGCGTACTATATTTCCTCGTTTTTTATGCACTTTGAATTTGGCCCTAAATACCTTACCAACCAGAACGTTCCTGCACCTTTAAGTGGGTAGTTTTGAAAAGGGGGGTATCCAGCTTTCCAACGGTACCAATTTTACCCCTAAAATCGGAGTCATTAAATTAAAGTTTGCTCAAAAAGACAAGTTATTCGCGCACTTCGAAAATCAAAAAATTACAGTGGATTCACGGTAAATATGCTCTTTCCCGGAAATTAGCGTGGATCAACGTTAATTTTTTGCCGTAGATTTGGAGAAATTTCTACCGTGGATCCACGGTAATTTTTTGATCTACGGTAATATGTTTACCGTTAATATACGGTAATATTTAACCGTACATCTACGATATTTTTTTACCATGGATCTGCGGTAAAAATTACCGTGGCGCGTGTTAAAATAATAAAAAAATCGAAAGTATCCAAATAAATTTAGTTCGGTCTTAGGTACATAAAATGCAAGAAAACAAAAAAAACCGAATTTGAAGTTGAATTTTTTATAAAACTTAATACTCGTATCTGCTCAATTCAACTTTGAATTTTTTTAAAGCCAAATATTAAATTATAAATTGTAATAGAATTTAAAAAAAGGAAATTTTTTGCATGTATGTTTTATTCATTTTATTCATATTTACCTACCTAGTGTGAATTCCCCCAAAAAATTTTCATCACAGCCCATTTAAAAAATGTAGCCTAGTTTTTTAATGTTACTTTTTTCTACCGTTTGTTAATTAAATGTATGTATGTAGGTAACTAATTTTCGTAAGCTTACGGTCACTGCCACATCATACGTAGTATATGCCTACAACTTATTTGTTTTTTGCTTGGATTCGTATGTATGTACCTACATACAGTGATCGAAAAAATTATAGCCGCACCACATTTAGACAGCTATTTAATTTTGGTCATTCCTTAACAAAACCCGTGTAGATCCAGGTTCAAAATTTTGTGCATGTATTTAAAGAAAATTAACAAACTTTCGTAAGAATTTTGAGCTTTTTAATTAGATATCCTAGAAGGATTCTATATAGCTAGGTATGGAGTTTTGAATTTTAGTACAATAAAGTAGGTTAAAGGGCAAAAAATTACGGTAGATTTTTTAGGTTTTTTTTTGGTCTCATTAGCTTTCACATAACAAATACATACACACAATTTATTTTTAAATGGAAGAAAACCGTATATTACCTCTACGACAAGAAATCTTCAACAAAATCAACGATAATTTATAGCCATTTCAAACTTGTAGATAGGTAGGTACTTTATTCTACTAGAATTCAACTTGGATTTACACGGGGTTTGCTAATGAATTAAAAACAGTTAAAAAAAAATAACCAAATTTATATGACAATAACAAATAATACGCGGTCGCGGCTATAATTTCTGCGACCACTGTACGTGTTTAGCGATAAGTAATCATTATTTTTCTCTAAAATGATAATCTCATTTGCAATCATCTTCACTTAATCCCCAGACCACTTTTCACGCATTTGTGTCTTTTAATCGTTTCTGCAAGCGAACCCCACAAAAATCTCTTTTGTCCACACATTTCCTTTAATACGCTTTCAATCAAAATTAACCAATCAATAATATTTGTGGCAGGTAACCCACACCACCACCCACAGCCGCCACTGAGGATAAATAAACACAATCACCGGCAAAGCAGTTAACCAACAACGTAACGGATCTGCGTGAGTTTTTCCACTTTTCAACGTAAATTTTTAAGTACCTACGCTTGCAGCGTTTCCTGTTTCCCATTGTCCTACGCTCTTCGCACTTTTTCACACTTTGCACTTTAAGAAAAGCAGCGCAGCAAACGCCGCTGCCGCAGCACGCTAATCCTTCAGAAATATCCGTGTGCGACCCCGTATGTGGGCGGGTGGCACAGTTCTTTCCGTTTGTTTGCTTTTATGATTTGCGGCAAATTGGAAAAACTCACTTTAACACCACTTGGAAAAGGTGCTTCGTCGATAGTTGCTGCCACACAAACATAATAAATAATAAAAAATATAAAAAAATAATCGAAGTATTGAATATGTTTTGCTATAAATTTCGCTATGTACATATATTTTCCCACTTTGCCGCTTAATGCAGATTTTCACTTAGCGCGTGCAAGGAAATGACTCCATTCAACACTTTCACGCCACCTTTGCGACACTTCCAGCACTTCCTCTCACCTTGACAGCTGGCAGTTTTTCCAATTTCCGTTCACCGTACAAAAATACTTTTTTTTAAGCAGTAGATACTCGCTAGTTTCTTCTAGCGCCAGCAATGGTTTTTCACTTGCAAATTTCTGCCACTTTATTCACTTCCTTATTACGCAATTTTTATGTTTTGCTTTCAAGCATCCCTTATTTACCGTTTTATTAACAATTCATGCACATTTTCATTTAACACACAGAAATTACTGAATTTTCACGGTGAGGAAAACGCTCTGAACGATTTCGTAGTAAACAGCCGCGCGCACGTCCAACCTTCGCGATGTTTTGCCGACAACAATCTGTTTTGATTTTGCCGATTCACCGAAGAACTGAAAATTCTGCTGCCGCAGCGAAAGCAACGCAACATGTTGCCTGGCTGGCTGGTGTGGAACTTGTTGCGCTGGTTGCCTTACAACATGTTCGTTGGGCCAAATTTGTGGATTGTAACAGTGGAGCGAACTTGTAACTATTTTGAATTAACAGAAATATTTGAAAATGCACAGAACGCAATAGGGTTTCTCAATTTCAGGTTATTACATAAATTAGGTAGGAAATTGCTAGATATTTATTTAAGAGCTTTTGGAATTGAGATTAATAATTTTACATGCTAATACGCCAACATGGTGTGTTTTCGTAGATACATACATATCCGTTACCTTAATATAGAAGGCCAAAATGGCCCATAAATTCGAGTTAAAGCCTCAACGTGAACATAGTATTAGACTTTCTTACTTGTTTTAAATAAGTTTTGGAATTAATCATATCATTGAAAATATAAAGTCCTTAAAAAAAATCTTGTCGTCAGAGAAAAGCGCATTTATATGCAGTTAATTATATGTAATATAAGGTAGACTTTTATAAAAAAATTTAGTTATGGAACAAAAAAAAAGAAATATGGACAAAACTGGTTGAAAAACGGCGCTTTCTTTTTTCTGCCACTGGTATTAAGAACTTCTTTCAACCACATAATAAATTTTTTGGAATTATTGTTTTTTGCATCGATATTCTTTCGACATACATTACTTAAATTACTTTATCAGATATGTACACTCTACAGTATTATTAAATGAATATAAATTTAATTACTGTCTTTTTTTTGTTACTAATGAAATAACTTTCACTTTAAATAAAAAAGTAGATTTCAAACCCATTAACTTATGTATTATTTACTTTATGGTAGGAGAGCTTCTCAAACAATATTGATGCAATTTTTTCGTGTCAAGTTGTGGAAAAATAAAAAAATATCTACATAAATCCCGGGACTGATCTCGGGATCGTAAAAATCGGAAAAATTAACATCTCTAATACATACAATATTTAATTATGTTGTTGTTGTCGCTGCTTCTACTGTTTACTAACTGATAATAATTTACAATCCATAATGTGTTGATTATATCCATACATACATACGTGCATGCACACATATCACAAGTTAGTAAAATTTATTTCTTCAACATATATTCATTGTAACATGTTGCAAATACAAAAATACGGCCCAATTCACCTGAATAGGTACACATATTGTCCTCAAAGATCCAAGCTTATATCTGGACTTGTGTGAATCAGAGCAGTTCCTTTCTAATCTCGTCTTGAAGAATGATTAATTTTGAAGAAAAGCGGTGAACCAAACATCACATGGATTGTCTGACACGCAAACTTTGCAAAACATGCAATTCTAAGGGTCTGATTATGCATACTTCGCATAACTTCGCACAACCATTTGTACCAGTGCACTAAAAGTGTAACTTAAGAAACTGTGAAGCAAAATCTAAACTCAACAGATCGCTAAGTTTTTAAAAGTTCTGCTAATTTCTGGGTAATGGAAAACATACAAAATACATACAAAGTACATACGAAATTACAGTTTGAAGTTTATGCGAAGTTATGCGAAGTATGCATAATCAGACCAAAAATATTTTCCATTAAGTTTAGCTCCTGTAAATAGGACGAACTCGGAAAAGAATACGACTTTCCTTCGTCATTCTCGTTTTTACAGCTCCTGTAGT